TGCCTGAACCTGTGGAGCTTCAGGCTTTCTTCTTGAGCCATATCCTCCTTGGCACTTGCAGCCCATAACAAACTATTCTTATTAACATTTTTTCTGGGCTGGGATTAAGTTGGAAAAGAGACAGGAATGACATTTTGCTTAAACCACTTTAAAAAGTAAGCAGAAGCTCTACCATTTAAAGTTTATATTGAGTCTGCTTCTAGATATATAGAAAAAAGGGATATTCAGGATATAAACACACACACGTATTGCTGTACAAAAGCTCCAGCTTTGATGATTTGCAATGGGTGGTGTTTTTGATAATGCCTCTGCTCAAGCCACACACACACAAGTGCTGCCTCTTCGCTGAGACATTAGGAGAACATTTTGTTTTCCCTTTGCCCATTCACAATTATATAGATTTGCTAATTGCATCAGTGTGACAAGGAAGAGGCATCAAAAACTGAAAAGGTGTTCCCTTCACCAGCATGTGGCAAAGATCACAGTAAAAATGAACTGTATACCTAAGACTCTGCCTGGAGGTCTGACGAGGAGCAGCCAGACCAAACTTCAGACAAGGACAACCTAGAGCCACTGTGATAACTTCTTTGGCCTCATTTTCCAAATGGAGGATTCATCTCATTAAGTGGGAGAAAGAAAACACCACCAAAACTTATCCTATTTGCAGCTTGGGTTTCTATTTCACAGTGGCCCGACTCATAACTTGGACTGATCAGCCGTGATTGCCTGAGCAGCTGAGAGACACACTTGCAGCAATCAGGTCCCACTATTAGGACTGAGCAGATTCCTGTTCTTTCCCGGCACTGCCATTTGGCAAGACTCACTGAGCTCCTCAGAAAACAGCACTAAAATTCCTCCCTGGGCAAACGCTAACACACTCCGTCAAGTTCTGCTTCCGTACAGCCGGCAAGCTTTGTGCGCCTCTGTGCTTGATTTCAAAGTTATTTAAGGAGCTAATCGGCATCATTCGACTGCACTGCGAAGCCGTGTGCCACTGCAGAGCTTCGGTGTTGGATAAGCAGCTCTGGCTTGTGGAGCCCCTCAGCTGCCCATTCCTCAGGCACGAGCCTGGGGTTGTAGGGGGAAGAGAGATCTGTGACAGGACCACAGCTGCCTAAGGCCCCCCAAGCATCCTGCTCCCATGCCAACTTGGGAATCAGAGCAAAGCTTTCTGCTGGGTGATACGGGAGCAGGAGCCGAGCCACAACTTCTGCACTGTGAAAGCCTGTTTCATATTGGGCCAGGGAGGTTTCAGCTGACCACAGCTCCCAGCTATTCCCTACAACTGCATAGTGAGAAGAAGCAAATTCTCAGGAAAAGACAATACAATGAAAAAATCAGGTTTGCGTCCTTCTGCAGCTCCCATACATTCCCCCTGGGGCTCCAAAATTTCCACACAAGCAAGTGAATCAGCCCACTTTCAGAGGAACAGAAGTTGTAGCTGGGGAAACAAAACCCTCTCATGAGGCTCTGTAGCCACTAATTTTTGCGATTTCTACCCTCATCCTTCTTTCTGCCCATATTATCCTCCGAATCTCCTGGGACATCAGCTCTTCAAGATGGGAACCAACTCCATACTCCCAGCCGTGCAGAAACATACAAAGAATATCCAAAATTTGGGCTAGTCCTGCATTGTTCCTAGCCATCCAATTCTCTTGGAGAAATTCCTCATCATTTTCAGATATGCTGCATTGTGGAAGTTGCCATAAAATGTTTATACATTGTATCCTCTGACCTCTTTAACACATCCAGCTGCTACAGAGAAGCAGTTGAGCCACCAAGAAAGAAACCTAGACCCCCAAGAACTCATAAGAAGAGACAAAAGGCAGGCTGCAGAAATCCCCTATCTTTCCATAGGAAATTTAATTTTTGGGGAAGGAGAAATAAATCCAAAATTATCTTCTGGATAAATTTACAACATGGAGAAATTACCCTTCTACAGTCACCTCTTCTGTTCCCACATTCCCATCAAACGGTCAAGAAAGCTTTGCCGCCCCAAAACTAATCTTCTTAACCAAAGGAAAAAACCCACACGTTAGAAAGCAAACAGCTGTCTCCATTTCCCATCTTCAGTCCCCCCGTGCTGCTCAGAAACCACCAAGAGATATCTCGAGCACACAGGATGCACATTCACCAGGTGCCACTGCGGTCTGGTACCATCACGCGCCGCTTCTCCTGCAGCCACCCAAACCGACTGCTGAGCTTCTCCACTTACCCACCTATCTGATAAGAACACATACCGTGGCCTGAACCTGCAATTAACACTCTCCTGCTCCTACTAATACAACTTGGAAATAGAAAATCACTTGCCAATAAAATAGGAAAATTTAAAAAAGAAAAAAAATATATGGGGGAGGAGAATGGGGAAGACAAGACCTCTCTGACAACAGCAGATTTTGGAAGATTCTACATTCTTCTCAAACACCCTCTCCCTTTCAAAAGCTACGCTGAAATTAGACTTCCTTTTTTTATTACGGTTCATTAGGCAAGTTGTGTCTGACAATGGATTTGTACTTTTAATTTTACAAAGCAAGCTTCTAAAGCATTCGCCTTTTTTTAAAAAAGGAAAGGCTTTTTTTTTTTTTTTTCCCTTCTACATATGGTGATGGAAGCAACTTTTCTCCCTTTCCAGGAAAGCTTTGGTCTCCCTTCTCATAGATGGTCCTTGCCCTGTGTCTGGACAGCATTCCCCAGGGGTGCATCCCCCGGGGCAGTTTGCAGTCAGCGGGTCTTTCCAAGGTGGAAAAAAAGATTCAGCGCCCCAGGGCGCCTTTTTAATCCTGGCTAACACCTCCAGGCAACAGATGCATCAACAAGAAGCGTCTTTGTCATGCAAATGGCAGGGCACAGGTACACACCAGGCACAAATGGCTGGGGACTACTGACACCCCAGGAGAGACCTCTGCCTCCAGTGATCTCAGCTGCTCCTGGCCCCGCTGCCCTGGGAAGGGGAGGCAGAGCAGACCCGGAGGGCAGCGGCTGGGACCCCACGGAGGAGAGCGAGCCACGGAGAGAGCGAGGATTGTCACCTCCCGGGCGCCGCGTTCTCAGCTCGCATTCAAACCCAACTGGCAGCTACGAGCCCAGCGAAGATTACACTTCAATTAAACAAAAAAATTATTTAATAACTCAAGCGTGTAGCCTTGTGGTTAAACTGAAAGAACTCCAGGCTTATGTCAACATTGCAGCCCTGCAACAGCACTGTTTTATTGAAACAGTGGTGCTGCTGTAACATGCAAGGGCAGCACTGAACTAAATTAGCCCCTCAGATGTTCAGCCGGCAGCTTTACAATTAAAAACAAGATGCGTTTTCCCCCCTTGCTCCCCTCCACCACACCCACAAAGGGCAGTTCCTCAAGTACCTCAGACAAGAGCCTCTGCAAGATGATATTCTGAGGGCACTGATGCCAGATCTGTAAAGCGTGGCAGCCCCACGGCATGCATATATGGAGAAAATCCTCAGTGAATAATTAAATTGGATTTTGTTGTTCCAAGCCATGCACTGGCACTCAGGACTTTCTTAGGAAGGTAACGTGGCAAAGAGGGGGTAAAAAAAAAAGCCTGAAGTTTCCTAGTCCTCCAAAGAGCACGTTTGAGTCTCGATGCCCTCTTGAAAAACTGCATGCTTTTCCCTATGATACATCCAAAAGGAAGTTTTCTGTAGAACAACGTTTACAACAACAAATATCAACAGACTGTGATCATCATGCTTCACCCTAAATGGCTGTAGGCCTCTGATCTGGAATTTGTACACAAAAACCTGCCACAGCTATAGAAAGCAATATATTGCATGAGTTTTTGCATCTTGCAAATGCAGATCCATGTGTTTTCCAGTGCCAAAGCACCCTGTCATTCCGACTCCAAATATACGCTAATTTAACATGTTTTGCTGCTGTCAAATTACCAATACAGATGAGGCCCCCTTCTTTTTGTTTTTGAAGTCAAATGCCACAGTCCCGAATAAAAATCAAGAACGTCAGAGAGGAAAACAATGCCGTGACAGAGACCTCCAAGTAAAAAAATCTATGAGCCACTAAGAAGGAAAACTGCTTTATCACAGGGAAGTAACAGCATCCAACTTCTCCTATCACAGCATGCACAACGGCAGCGGCATTCTTCCAGCAGGATGCCTACCAGCAAATTGTTTCCCGCTCCACTCCGGTTCTACTAATATAATTTCCACAGCTCATTTTAACACTGCCTCTCCATTGCTCTATATGTATACCAAGAGGCTTACAAAAATAAATGGGAATTGACTATCCAGAATTAAAAGTACATTAAAATCCATTAAACATGCATCTACACCAATGGAAACAGAGGGACCAACCTGGAAGAATCAGTGCTCGCCACAGTGTAAGGGAAAGCTGTAACTACTGCATCATGGTTGATATTAATTCCTAAACGACCATTTCACAATTTCTGGCTGAAGATACAGAGTATGTTTCAAAGCAATGCTGCCAGATAGATAAAGCCTTCACGCAGACCAACTGATGGTGGAAATAAATATCAATCAGCAAAGAGCAATGCCACATCTGAAGGCAAACAAACAAACAAACAAAAAAAAACCAAACCAAAAAAACCAAACCAAAACAAAAAAATCCAATCTTCTCATCTTACTGTCAAGCAACTTTAGCAGTTCTGCTTCCAGCCCTTGATTTTCCTCAACAGATTTAAAGCCAGAAAATTCACATCTGTCCCAGTCACTACAAAGACAGCATTTACATCATTCTGCCGTACATTATCCTAGAGTCGTAAACCAGGGCTCCCCCCACAAAGCCCCCGGCCCTGTTCACAGACATTAATCTCAGCTTTTCCACTGTGATCACAACCAACACCTCTAAGAGCTCTCAAACTCCACTGGACAGAGGCTCTGAACAGCAGAAGCTCAACCTTCATCGCCACTGAAGCTACCCAAAAGACCCCTGCTGTAAGTAGACTCTGCAGAGCAAACAGGAGGAAACCCAGCTTGCCAAAACCAGCCTTTGGAAGAGATAACTCACTGTTCTGGGGATGGGTGGCGACAGAGATCCATTAGGCATGTATGGGTCGTTATTCATATTTGGCATCATGATATACCCAGAATAACCAGAGTATGATGGTCCCTTGCTGTATAAGCCACTGTCTGGATGCTTTCCTATGGAAGACAAAACAATGATTACATTATTCCCCACATATGCATTTCTCATGAGTTAGAGCACTCAGAGAGGTACTGTGAATATATGAAAATGTCCTGCATGCAAACATTTCCTTACTCATGGAAATTACTGCTGACAGAAAACAATATGAAGAAATCTGTAATAACATTTTTTTTTTTTTAGGAGGAATTAATTCTTAAAGGAGGGAGTACTCTTGATGAGGAGTTTATGTTTAAAATACAGGATAGCCTCAAAATAATTTATTTTGCTAGTAGTCATTCAAATCAAAGTAGACACATCAGCAATGACATCACGTTTCTCAAGTAGCAGGTTTCCCCAATTTTATACATGCCTCTAGGATTTGTCAATTCAGAATTAATGCCAGCATGAGTTTCCAACATCATTCTTAGGAAAGGGAGGACAAGGCTGTGATAACTAGATATAATAATTTCTTTCTCTTGCTGAGCCAGTGTGTGCAGCGAACAATTCATTCTGGCTATGCTCATTGGGAACAATTAAAGGGCAGGGGGTGGCTTGGAAGGAGAGCCTACCAATTTGGGAGGGGGGCTGTTGAGGACACATGGTACTACAGTCAAGAGGGAAACCAAGTGAGGGAGGCTATTTGGTAGGAAAATAAAGTGTTTGGGTTGAGGTCCTGCAAATAGGGTGAACAGGTCTCCCACCTACATGCCCGTTGACAAGGACACTACTTGAAACTGAGGTTTGAAGAAGATGCAGAGCTGAAACCTATCCACAGCTGAACACCTCCCCCTCACTGCCCAAATGCTATGAGCATGGACATCATTGCTTTTAGGCTGTTTAATTACAAATTTGGAGGAAGATGGCCACAGAGTCCTGGAAAGCACCAGGACTGAACTGTGCCCGTCTTTATATGGAATTTATAATCTGGTTTAGCTTGTGATGATAAGCATTTGATTTTAAACATAATCTCCCACCCTTCACAGCACACATTCTTTGCACGTGTGTCCACCTTCCTAAGTGATATTCGATGAACTTTGCTATTTCCTCTGTCCTTCTCAATCAAAATTAACCAGTCGGTACATTAAAAAATGCAGGAGGTCTGTTATTTGAAAGAGGAGATTTAAGTGACAGACTTTGGCTATGGGGAAAAGCAGAGGAGTTCTGAACACGGCTGTACACTCTGTGAGTGAAGAGATAGATGTATTTAAGCTGATATCCTAAAAATAGTTATTTCTTCAGTGAAGATCCATTTGGCCTACTTATCAGTTTCTAAACAACTGGAATACCATTTGGTCACTCAAGCTAAATGCACTGCACGTTCATCTCCTTTTTAAATGCACTTTGAAAGAGCTCCAGCATCCCTGCCCCCCAAAAGATATTAAATTCATATTTTCCAAAAGAAACCAAGTTCCAGTTTGAGGACCGTGTGGAGAGTCACAGAGGGACAACATTGCAAGACAGGACTGTGCGCATCTCACCTTCTTCGGGGTGTTCTCTGCCTTTATCATGGTAGGAATCCTGTGCTTGAGTCTGCCTGGAAACCTGACCGCAAGGAATCCACCATCAGAAAAGAAGAAGAAAAAGAAGAAAAGTCATTGTATGGATGCTCGTTTATCAATCGCACTGCTACAGTTTCTTGAAGAAAGGGAGGAATTAAGAGCACAAGATAAACATCTTTCTTTTTCCTCTTAAGTCACTTGGAAGGCAACTGGACCAGAAACGTTTGTGTAAACTATCGTTTTATGACAACGTGAATAACTATAGGGCTTTGCAAAGCATTTCTAGCAGAAGCACCCTGCATTTAATCAAAGTGGACCATTTCTGGAAAATATTTGGCGCTCTGGCGGTCAAAACACTCCTGGTAAAAAGATACCAAAAATACTAATGAAAATCAGGTTGCCCTCCCTAGCAGATCTTTAGGGAAAAAAAAAGAAAAAAAAAAAAGAAAAAAGAAAAAAGAAAAAAAAAATTAAAAAATAAAGAGATTTTTTAAAAAGGCAGGTTCCCTGCTCGCCCTGAAGTTATTTTAGAGTCGGGAATTTCTTCCCAAACAGTTTTATGCAAATCCCTTAAAGAGTTTACAGCTAATGCTCCGACCCCGCTGATTTTACTGAGGAAATTTCATGGCTCCTTGAGGTCTAATACCACCGCACCGTCGGGGAACTCGCGGCAACTTTCTCGTCCCGGGCCGAAGCGCGGAAGGGGCTCTGCCCGGCGCACCTCTGCATACAGGATTTGGGGCCGAAAGATTTCTTTTCCTATGGGAAATTTTTCCCCGGTGCCCTGGCGAAGCTCCCTCCCCGCGGCGGCGGCCGGAGCCCGCGGCACCCCGCGCCCCCTCGGTCCGCGCTGCCCCGCGGAGCCCCCGCACCTCGTGCCCGTTGGCGCCGGGGGCGATCTCGGACTCGTTG